ACCTTTAATCCTGAGTACTTGAGGTAGATAATATTTATTTACCGGTAAAGATTAAATACCCTACAGTTCAATGACAACCGGAACCGATTAGGATATTGAAAACAAGTTTTGTTTATTGTATAATCACGGTCTGTCTCAAGGCCAATAATAAAATATTCCACTGCGGCCATTGTGCTTCACTCTAAAAGTATGGTTTAAGATATTTATTTTCTCAAAAAGATTTACAAATCACTTACAGAGAAAATACTTTATATTAAATTTATAATAATACTTATTATAAATTAAAAAAAAAAACATAAAGCCGATTGGCGTAGTGAGCTAGTATTATAATAGGTCGCTAAAACTTATTTTCTAATTGACTGCTTACATATAATACCCTATATGTATAGGTATTATATGTAACCATACATATAGGTATTATATATGTATGGGATACCCATACATATAGGGTATTATATATGTATTACATATAGGGTATTATGTGTGTATTATATAATTATAATAACCTTGATTTGGCATATAATACCCTGAGTCGTAGTAGTTCAGATGGTTAACGCTCGCTGTAAATATAACAGAACGCGAGTAACCCGGGTTCGATCCCCGCCGGCACCAATAAAATTGTTAATTTCAATTTTAAGTGTGATTTACCACATGCTCGGCGGTGAAGGAAAACATCGTGAGGTAACCTGCATGTCTAAGGAATAAGAAAAAAAAAATATTTCGAAGACATGTGAAGTTCGCCAACACGCATTGGGGCAGCGCGGCGGACACTTCCTTGCCCTAAAACCCTCTCAGAAATGAGGGAAGGCCTGTGCTCAGCAGTGGGACGTATATAGGCTGTAACTTTACTTTACTTTATATAATACCCTATTTATATTTGTGTAATTAATAATTACACATAAATAGGGTAGTTGCAAAGGTATTCGCATGAAAGCAAATAGAAAAATAAAAAAAATTAATCGTCACTTCGGTCATAACTGAATGAGTGTCGCAAATTATTTGTTAAGGCCTATGACACATTAACTATTTCATTGTGTTCTAAATTAATTTTTAGTGTTAGCTGTTATTGTTTGTGTTTATCTTTTAAAACCATTACTATATGTAATAAAATACTATAATTAGGTAGTGTTTATTTATTTCGTATAATATATATTTAGGTATTAAATTCCTTTCAATAATATAAGTACACTTGCACATACATATAATACAACGTATATACATACGTAAACACATAAGTACATACCCATATATACACAAATACGTGTATATACATAAGTTATATTTTTGCATCTATAATCATTTTGTATATATAAGTAGTTATATTGTATTATCTCTATACATTCGTTTTGTTGTAGACTATATTATTATTAAGGTTTCATGTTTACTTCATATAATATGTAGATTAAAGGTTTGTGATTATTAAGTTATTATGAAATTTGAATATTATGTTGACCACACAATTTGTTAAAGTTTGTGTAAATTAATTAACTTATATCAGCGTAAAGGAATAAAATGACGTGCCTTACTTATTTTGAAGAGCGTTTTTACCGACTTCAATATTATTTTAACGCATTACCGCAAAGTAACGCCTGATTCTAATAATTATCACACAGTTTGTTTTAAAGAGCTTTATTTTTTTACTTATTATAAGCCCGTTCTTTCAAGTCCTTTAAATTCCACCAATAAACATAGATGTTACCTGAATATTGCCTGATAAATATTCGCCATATGTGCCATAGTTGCCACTCTTGCCGGGCAGTCAGGTAGAAAAGTGGTTGGCAACCACTTGCCAATCCGCCTTGCGAACAAAGTCGCAATAAATATTTTGGTTTTAGATAAAATACAATATAATAGAGTACTGTTGCGCGCCTAAGTTGATGTCTGGTACCTGGCACTAGCGCTATCTAGTGTCGGGGAACAGAGCGAGGAGAGCTTTCTACAAAATGCCATGATTGAACATTCCACCAAAAGCGCCATCTAGTAACTATTAAAATTATTTTAAGAAGTAAGAGAGACGCACGACCTCGCTCTGTATGTTGTAGGAAGATGCTGTGGCTCATAACTACCTACATTTTCAACCATCCGTACATCTTTGTTATTTCATTGTTTTATTTTATAGACTTATGATATTTAATACAACTAAAGTGTATCTCATGTATCGTACTAGGCCAATCCTGTAACGATAGTAGGAAGTGGATGTTATAAATAAATTACGGACTACAAAAGTCCACTGCTGAGCACAGGAGGGGGATTATGGCATAGTTGGCATGCTTGGCAAGCGGGGTGGCAGTTTTTATATTTTGAGTTGTTATCAAGAACCAATGTTCACCTGTGTTGTGGTAGTTATACTTACATCACCACTGTACGGTATGGTACACCTACATATGTGAAGAACAAAAATGCAGAATCGATGAAACCTTAGGTTGTTATGTATGTAAAGTTATTTTGTAAAATTTGTATGTAAAAAAGATATATGAATTATGTTTTTTTTTTTATAAAATAAAAGTGTAAAGCGAGCACACAGCCCACCCCATTATCTACATTTATCTTCAATTAAAAACCAAAATGCAAATGCGTTGCCCTGAGGCCTGAGATGGAATGCCTCGTTTCCAGTAAAAAGTGTCTCCGGTTCTCTACTCTCACCATACGAAACACAGCAGCATTAAGCTGTTATTTTACGCATACGGTATTCTGTGAGAGCGTGGTCCTATCCATGTCGAGCCAACCCATTCGTGCTGTAATCACATTATAGCTGCAGCATAGCTCTACCACGTAAAAAACCTCGTTAGCAGTAAAAGTGTCTCCGGATCTCCTCATACCTTGTTTTTATATTACTTCCATACTAGGATTTTATCTTGTATCATGGGAGAAGTTTACATACATAAATTTTTATACAGATTTTTTGGTAGGCCGTACAAATACTTATTCAGTGCGGGATTCAAACCACGGCCCCTAGCCCTGCAACTCATTGCTAAGCCAATGCGCTAAAGAGCCCGTCAATATGATTTCACTATACGAAACTTAGCAGTATCATACTACTATTCCAAGCTAATATTCTGAGCGAGTGTACAGCTTCTCCTGTCGCAGTGACCCATTCTATGTTGCAGTCATTTGACGTACCGTGTAAATCAAATTCATAATATTTTATTTAGTTTAGATTTAGTACAGAGCACAGACTCCTTAGTTGAAAGGTAAGGGTATAGGTCTTTGATCTTCACCAGCATCACTGAAATTTTTAATTGCAATTTTAAATTGCTGTGTAATCAAAGAAATCATTGCGAGGAAAACTATAAGTCTGAAAAACTGAAATTGTCTAAATGATTAAAAGGAAACTAGAAGTCTGTCAATTTAAACTAGATATGAACAGGGAATTTTTCTCAATCCCACTTAGAAATAAAGGGGGGTATGTGCTCAGCATTAGGCTCTTCAGCTTTCGAAAATGCTTTCAGGTTATTAGGCTTCGTTTTGTGTTAATAGTATTTATTTTTAAATAAATAAAATTTATTCAGAGAACAGCTGATTTCACAGGAAAACAAATTCATAAAATTCTTGAGTAGTAATTTATACAAATAAATAAATAAACACATATTTCAGACCCAAAGAGTTAGGCAGGGACTAAGAACTTTAATTTGCTAATTCTATACACGAACATATAAATAAATGTGAGCTGTCTGTCTGTAATATACAAATGAATGGCTTCTAATTAAGCTTAAAGGGTTGTTTGTATGCTATTAAGATGCAAATATAAAAAAAAATAATTTTTGACTGAACCAATTGTAATGAAACTTTACGAACAGATAGAGAGTATTGCCAGGAAAGATCTAGGCTAAACTTTATCCGAAAAGTTCGTAGAGTTTGTTTTTGAGGAAAAAATTGACAAATTAAATTGTCTTTAATTATCTTGAATCTAAATAATGCCACATTAATAGATCATTTGCAGACAAAGTCAGGCTGTTCGCTAGTTATGAAGCCTAATTTAACCAAAAAACTAAACAGCGCAAAATTTAACCCTAGTGTCAAACAGTGGACTATATATTACAGATAGGGGAGAAAAATTGGCACACAGGTTACGTGATGGCAAGTGGAATGCAAAAAAAGAACCAGGAATGGTAAGCTGAAATGACAATGGGCTAGCCATTTAGCTGAAAGAAGCTCCAACCGATGGTAAGTAAAGCATTCGAGTAGCAACTCGTAGCGCTAAGCGAGCTATGAGGCAGTTTTCCACTAGAAAGAGTGACGATAAGACATGGCACCGCATTTTATGGTATTCCTTAGGGCAGGCATATGTTCAGAAGTGAATTGTACTAATGAAACATTAAAATCCAGATCTCTTGCTAATGCTGACTTATAAGAAATAATATTGTTTTGTTACAAACTAAAATGATCTACATATCTCTACACTTACCATACAAAAACACAGCATAATTCTCCTTCTATTTCACGCCGGTATTCTGTGAGAATTACTCAGTAGCAGGGCGCTCGCCTTAAACTTCCATAGCTTGGCCAGTCTCTCTCGTTTTAAGGCAACATACCATGCATTCGAACCAAAATGTTTGCTTTGTTGTTCGTCATACATAAAATAAGTAGTTACTGGTATATTTGCCAGCATCTCTCTTTTCATAGGAAAAATTCATAGGAAAAAGTGAATAGGGTCTTGTTGATCCAAATAAATGTGCTTTACTATCCACAGCTGCATCGCCGATAATTATCAGATGGTGTTGTAGTTAAGCGCTGGCTTATAATATTTAAAAAAAAACATCATGCGAGCAATCTGTACATGTGCACAATACAGAAACACAATATTAATTTTGTTTTTTTTTTTAAAGGAAAAAAACATATGACATCATATATTTTATTTATATTTTACATAACGCTTATGCGATATATTTAAATTTGCCATCATAATTGATGTAACACAAAAAACATAACAAAAATTATTGCAGAATCCTTATCTTGATTTTAGTAAATGTGATTGCAAGACTACGTTCTTGATTTAAAGTTCACTTATCTGTTGAAAAGAAACGATAAATTATATACCTTGCGTGTGTAATGATACCGTCGGAAGTCTTTGCTTCAGCTTCCTTATAATTTACGTTATTTTTATTTTTTTCGTCTTCCTTAATTTTAATTGGAATATATTCAGAATCATCAAGAGTTGAATTGTCTCCTTCAGATTGTTTGCTGAATTGTACGGAAAAATCATGGTCCAAAATGATTTGTTTGTCAATATTATTTATTATCGGTTCTCTTGCAATCTCATCTCTATTTCCTTCGCTCGAATCTAAACGTTTAATTATATTATCATTTTCATGACTATGGTCAATGAATAAACGAGTTACAAAATCGTCATGAGCTTGTGTTATTAGTTTTTCATCACTTTGTGGGTTCTTCTCAAGAGATGTTTGTTTTTCAGTTAAAACCCTTTCAACGTTACCTTCCTCCATACTATCCATTTCAGCTTTATTTTCATTGGTCGATTCAGTTTTTCTGACTTGATCATCAGATCTCAATTTATCATGCAAAATTTCATTTGATACTATAACATCTCCGTTTTCATTTGAATCACTTTCATTTTGAGAATAATACAACATTTCATTTTCCGTATTACGAGTGTCACTAGCAATGTTTTCATAACCTTTTCTTTCTTTGAAATGGTTAAGGGCAATGTCTTCGATTTTTAAAATATTTTCATTTGAATTATCTGAAACTTCATCAGAAGATCTAATATTGAGTGAATCAACGTTTTTAGATATCGCAATGTTCGCTTCTTGAGCATTTTCACCGGTTGATTTTCTTTTTGAATCAAAAACCTTACTATTTTCACGATTTATTTCAGTGGACATCGGTTTTGAATACTTCATTGATTCCTTTGATACAGCAATAGGCTTAATTTCATCTTTAATTTCTTTTAAATTTTCTGTTTCCTTGAGATGCTTGTATTGTTTTTCTTTAAGCTTTGTTAAGTCTGGTAGGTTTGTTACAATTATGGCGAGAGGTCCAAAAGTTTTCTTTTGTTTATTTAATCTGGGCAAAGGGGAGTTTCTTCTCCATTTGAAGTTCGTATAATTTCTTTGTTGATATGGCTCTATTGTCAATTTATCAAAATTATTTGGCGCTTTATTCGCTTTTTCTGAAGGTATTCTATATATAATGGGATGAATAAGGTCTGAAAACTCACTATTTGTAAATTCATAAGACTGTATTGAGTCTTCAGGTAATTTATGAAAACGCAGGTCATCCAATCTTCTTGTTAGAGAATGGCATGAATACAAATCGAACTGTTGTAGAATTATGACACTCAGCGCTGTAAAAGAAATATGTTACTAAATAAAACGGAAATATTTTTATATATATTTAACTAGCATCCACCCTGGATTCGCACGGGTGATTTCTGGATTTCGAAAACAGCGTCACATAATTGGTCCAATTGTCAATTTAGACCACCCATGGACCTCATTCAAATACACGAGAAAAATTTCATCGGATTTCATCAAGCCATTTTAGGGTTTTTGCGAGACAAATGCTGCGAAATTAATTATTATATAAATTGATTATTAAGTTTAAAATTTACGAACCTTGTAGCGAATGTTAAAATAAATAAAGTTGGTGAAATAATTGATTGAAAAATGATCAATTGCCGTACAATGGCGGCATAAGATTATCCACAAACGCACATCGTCTCGTGGGCTAACGAATTGCTAGCCATCGCAAAAATCCTTATGCAATTTAGGGGGAAGCCTATGATGGGTAGTTTTTTATTTTGTTATTTTTATTTCATTAGCGACTGGATACCGTATAAGGAGAATATCCGCAGTAGAACAAGAGTCAACGACATTGCCCAACTGATAAATAAGCTTAAGTGAGAACGGGCCAGCCACATAGATCGAAGAAGCCACAACCAATAGGAAGAAAAGTTCTCGAGTGGCAACCTGGTATCGGTAAGTGAAGCGTAGGGCAACCCTCTACTAATTGAAGTGAGGACCCTGACCTGAAATATTAAAATATGCAGGTAGTCGTTGGACGCAGGTGACCCAGTAGTGGACTTGAAAGGGCTGTAATCATGATAGTTTCAAGTTGTGGGACATTCCTTCTTAGTTCTAAGGGATACCTTCTTCGTATGAAGTTGACCAATAGGTTTGTCACTTAAATTTTATAAAGAAACATGAATGACTTACCCAGAATGAGATGCATGATTGTAACAAGTGTGCGTAAAGCAACCGTTAAGCCAGTTTTATACTTAGGCTATTAATAAACACGCCAAGGTTTAATTTAATAGCTAATTAACTGTTGATTACATAGCGTTTATTACGCTATTAATTTATCTGAAGCGGATTGAATGGACGCAGTGGAGACGCAATGATTAATTACAGACGATTGTGTGCTAATGAAAGGTGTTAATAGTAATGTGTGAAGAATGCTTTTCTTTTCATTAATAGACCAAATTCGTACGTGCTCGTGTTTATAGCACCAATGTGTCGACTCGACCCGCTATCACAGTATACCAGCGTAAAGTAGCAGCTTAATAGTAATGTGTTTCGTATGGTGGGTGTACGGAACCTGATAGGTTTTTTTTACTGGATAAGAGGCATTCTATTTTAATCCTCAAGAGTGACAAATCTAGGAAAAATGTACTGTGACTATGAGCCGAATGATCCACTTTCCATTAGGTCGACCGTGTGTTTGGTTATCAGCCTTGTTTTATAAGAAACATGTTTCCCGCGGATATGTGTGCAGTAATGGTAAGGAAGTGAGCTTAAAAATATTTTAAGAAATAAATGTGACAGGTGAGGGGTGATGGCCTACATTATATATATTTGTCTATTTATTTATTTATTTAAATTATCAACTAAGTATATTTTGAGATTTTTTTAAAGTTACCTCCATACTAAGATTTTTTCTTGTATCGTGAGAACAGTTTACGTACATAAAATTCACAAGGACAAACATTTCAAACAGAGCAATTATTTGCAGGCAAATACTTGTTCCGTACGGGATTTGAACCCGCGGTCCTTAGCACTGCAACTCATTGCTAAACCACTGCGTCACGGAGCCGTTGACATATAATAAAACATTACAGCTGTAGCTGTAAATTTGTAAATTTGACGCTATATTATTTAACTTAAAGATGACTTTACAACATAATCATAATGAACTGTTTAAACATAAAATTAATCACTTGTTTTATAAATAAAATAATTCTAGAAACAGAAACAGAAACTTTTTTATTCAATATGGATTATAAATAATACTTATTAAATGTCACTTTTTTTCATTTACCACTGGTTCTTAAAAAACACCTCTGTCCTGGGAAGAACCAGCAAGAAACCCAGCGGGACTATTGGGACCGTTGTTATATATACTAAAAAATAAAATTACTGACTTAAAGTATGAAGAGTATAAAAACTGGTTACGCAATATTACCTTACTGCACTGACAAATATAACAGTTAAAGTTACAGCCTACATATGTCCCACAGTTGGGCACAGGCGTCCTCTCATTACTGAGATGTAACAAATATAAAAACTAATAAATAATTGGCTGCATTGGGTCTGAAATGAAATATTCAATTCAATTACCATAATGGCGTTAGCGTTAATAGGTGGCGTTAATATTACAATTTAATTCTGTTAGTGTGTCAGAGCGTGGTCCTTTGTAACTACGTTGAAATGAATGAGAACATAATAATCGCGTTTAAATCAACTCATATTGTATTTTAAATAACATCAGAATAATTTATGTGAAATTAAATAATTGGTATTGTCTACAGTTTTATTACGTATTGTGTAATTTTTTTATATCATAGGGGTGACAAACGAGCTGACTGTCCATTTGATAGTAATTGGATGCAGTGATTCATAGACATCTGCATTTATCCTGGATTTAAATTTAAATTGCAGATGCGTTATCATGACTGAGGGCTAAGACGGAATGCCTAGATTTTATTAAAAGGGGTCTCCGGTTCTCTACACTCATTATACAAAACAGCAGCTTACGAGGGAATATAGTAGAATAATACGATGTAACTAAATAATTACTCAATATAGCAACATTTGTAGAGCCACGCTGTAGCTGCAGCTATATTATAGTTGCGGCACGACTGGTTCGGCTCGTTCGGAGTAGAAAAATGATCTCATGAAACACCAGCGTGAAGTTGCAGCTCATGTTGACGTATTTTGTATGGTGAGTTACAGAACGGGGCTCATTTTTACTGGTAACGAGGCATTAAAATCAAGTACAGATGAAGATATCTATGGGTGAGAGCATCCACTTACCATTAGTTTGACTGTCAGCCTCTTCGTTATCTTTACTTGTACAAAAATCCTTACCGTTTTTCTAAAACTATTTCTGTAAATATATTTAAAAAAAAGCTTGAAAAAGAAAATACAGTTTGTAGAGTGCAGTTGATTACTTCCTCTTGTTTCATCCAGTACCTGAGCGAGCGAACTTCGTCCGACGTTACAATAAATTTGTTTTCTCTGTGACGAGGTCTCATCTGCATAAATTTTGAAAGTAAAATATTTTCTTTATACAAAATTTTCTTTTATCTTTAGAGCCATAATATAAAATGTTATTTACTTTACTATAGTAACCTTCACAGTCTATAAAAGTTCACTGATTAACATAGGCCTCCTGAATAGATTAATTGACAGACTGATTAATGTTTTGACGGCTTCGTGGTGCAGTGGTAATTGTAGAGAATTGAAGACGCTTTATACTGGATATGAGGCATTTTATCTTAGTCCCCAGGAGTGACAACGCATCTGCACTTTGATTTATCGAGGATAGATTTAGGTGTTAATGGGCCACAGCAGTTACAAGTGGACTGTGTACTCGTTTGTCATGTGTTAACTCTGCATCGTCTGGTCACTAGTCTGGTTGATCCAGTGGTCGTAAACGCAACTGCTGACCATGCGATCCCGGGTTTGAATCCAGGAACGAGCCAAAACAGTTATTAGGTTATCATGTCAAGAATTTCTCAGTAGCAGCCCGAAGTTAGAAAGTTGATTATGTTTCACTCTCGTGCGTAGGAGAGAACGTTAAAACGTTTGTCCTGCATCTTTTAACCACGGTCGCTACGGATTATCGTCCTATCGGACTGTGATAGTGAGCGAATAAAGCGCTGTGCTGGCGCGTACACTCTTGCACTATGATCATGTCCTGCGTAGGTATGTAATCGCCATTGAGACTGGCCACCGTGACCAAAAATCGGTTTGAAAGACATTATTATTATTACTAATCTAATCACAAGGCCATGTCATTATATAAACATAATAAATTAATGTATGATTCATCATTGTCATCAGGCTGCGGCAGTCCACTGCTGTACATAGGTCTTTGGAACGCTCGCTGGGCGACTTTGTGCTTGTGGAGTAGTCATTCTGTCAGTGTGCACGTTTCTGCACACGTACTGTTCAAAGACTTCTGTCTTCAAACTTGCGGTATGGGCGACAGAATGACCTGACGAAGCTTCCCAAACGCTGCCCAGCCCAACTAAATCCGCCTATAGGCTTCTTTCTCGAGGTTGTTTCTACCTAACTACACTATCTGGCCGAGGTAGATATGTGCAATTGTTAAACAAAATTACAAAACCGCATAACATAGAAAATTCAACCGACATTTCAGCGCAGATTAAAAACGAAAAAAATAACATATCCCGCAGCTCTGCTGGAATTGGATTATTCAGTTTCATTTTCGTAATGCAGCACGAACCACTTCACATAATACCTTGTGGACTTAGGTTTGCTAACTCTATTTATTCATTTTAACATATAATACAGAAATAGGCAAACATGATAAAAATAACAATTCAACAGTGTTGAATCAGTCAGAGTAAGCAGAACTTTTTAATAAAATTATAATTTTGCAACAATTTAGATGAACGCTAAAAAGTGTTTATGAAAAATTTATCATGGATATTTTTGACAATTAAGTTTATTAATTCAAATATTGTTTATTATTTGTTAATTTAAAATTGCAGATGTCGAAAAAAGTAAACGATTAAATGACAATAATTAACCAAATTAAGAATAGGCAAAAATTTTACCGGAAAGAAACATTTTTGTAGTAAATATTTCTTTATTTATTGTTACAGCCTATATACGTCCCACTGGTGGACACACGCCGCCGCTCATTTCTGAAAGTGTGTTAGGGAAAGGAATTTTCTACCGCGCTGCCCCAATGCGTGTTGGCTTTACATTTTACCGAAATATTTTTTTTCTTATTTCTCAGACATGCAGGTTTCCTCACGATGTTTTCCTTCATCACCGAGCACGTGGTAAATCAGCACTTAAAATTGCAATTGATAATTACATTGATGTCAGCGAGGATCGAACCCGGTTTTATTCGCGTTGTGAAATTTACATCGAGCGCTTACCATCAGAGCTACCACGGCTTTACAGTATTAATATAATTAAAAGTAATCTTTTGATGATTACATATGAATTGTTTAAAGAATTGCGATTTTAACAGTTTTTGTACAATTAGCGTCTGATTTCTGTCAGTTATTAGAGGATCATGGAGTACAACCGCGATCGTTATACAGCACCATTCCATTTTTACCGCGCAAATTGATAAACACAATAATGACTTTATATAATTTATCGATTGAAATGACCATGGCTAGAGAGCAAAGCCTATAGACACCTTCACTCTATCGTAGTGCAAATGCGTTGTCACTCGTGGGAACTAAGACAGAATGCCTCGTCGCCAGCACGAGAGTTTGCGATCTCTCCACTCACTATACAATATGTTACGGCTGATAAGTAAGTACTTTTACATGGTAAATAACATGAAGCCCTAAATGCATGTCTCGCGAATAATCGTTCGATTATAATTTAACGATAAAATCCGTTGAATTAATTTTGTTCGATGTGTAGTGTTTATGTAAACTTGTGCTAATAAATAACAAAGCGCTCGTAGCGCTTGTCACTATTACACAAGTGGACAACAAACTCGCTACACATTTTTATCTTTTGAAAAATAAAGCTCGCTAAATGTAACAAGCTCGTTCACCACATTAATAATTGAAATGGAAGCAATGATTGCTGAAATAAAACGACTGGAAGTTCCAACCAATTTACAAAACTTTGCGAAGCGCCATTTGGCTTCAATTGTACGAACCATTAAAAGCTAGGCAAAAATGTTGCGTCGTTCATTTGAGGTAATGACTTAGTGCGACTTGAGCGAGACCT